TTTCCCGAGTGGAGACGTCTGCACACAAACAAAAAGAGAGGGGAGAGAGTTATGAACACTTCTAAAAAATCTCAAGAACAAAATAATAGACCCAAAGAAGCCGACGTACTTGTCGTTCTCCATTCCAAAGGGCATAACAAGCCGCTGTACTCAGGACCGACACTCCTCTGCCAAGATCCCTTGAAGATGAGTAGGTCATCCTTGTACCCCTTATCCGAGTTGGGAAGGTGAGTTACGAGGTATATAAATGGGTCTCTGGCTTTGAGGTAGAAGTTTTGTTGAGGCATGACTCTCAAGAGGGAGTAGCAAAAGAGAATATTGTTCAGCCCAACATTTATCCCGAGACGCTTGTTGAGCTCTAAGACTCCCATAATTATCCTGAAGACATTAAGGCAACACTGCCCAGGGAAGAGGTGGAAATGCGAGAGGAACTGGAGGAGTAGAGGGGGTAGAGGGAACCTAATTCCGCCCTCTATGACGGCCTTGGTATAAAAGGGCATCTCATCCTCGGCCCCGAGGGTACGGGAATGTACAGCCGAGTTAAAATCCTCTATGTCTACATATGGGGGGATGCTGTACTTGACCCTAAACCTATTAATTTGCTCGCCCCCCTTTACTTTATACTTCCCTGGCCTCGAAGAACTGGCCTGGGGATTCTCAGGGGTAGGGCGACGACGGGGCATCTCCAAAAAATGATAAAAATTGAGGAAGAAGGGAGGGGTTTTGCCTACGAAGATCTCCAAGGAAGCTTCCCGAGGGTTAGTCACAGGATGGCAATCAGAAACACCTTCGGGTATCAGAAAATCAAAAGAAAATAAAAACAGCGAGAAAAAGAAAAGAAGAGACAAAAAGGCAAAGAGAGGAAAGATACAAGGACTCACTGGAACATAAACGGAATTTTTTCTTGAAAACTTGAAGTGATTCCTTCCCCTAGAATGTTCAGAAGCAAGGATGGGTCTGCTGGCCTTGAGACTCCGATGAAGGATTGGACAATAGACAACAAAAGGAAAGGGATCTCCGGTGAGATTTCAGGCAAGGGCTCTCTGAAGAAATCCGAAATGGCAAAGTGAGAGAAGGAGAGAGGAAGCCCATTTATATAGTACCCATCCCCATCATTTGGGCACGAAGCACGAAAAGGTGCATTTAATGCGCACGACCTCCTAAGCAGGGAAAAGCGGCTGAAGGCAATGATGAAGTGGTTGGGGTAGTTATAGAACCCTTCGTCTCCTTTACGACGCATGTCCTCGGTGTCAGAAGATCGAAGGCTGGGGGCAGTTGATGGGACATTTTCAGATATTCCAAGATAAAGACACGTGTCCTCGACATCAGTAAATTCCTAATTACTGTAATCGCGACACGTAGTTGTCAGATCACAAGTCCCTCTTCCCCCGAGGTACTGTTCATAGGGATCAATAACATCCAGTACGTTACGTACCAACACGTATCCCTCGGTCGGATATGGGGCACATCGGCCCTACATGTACCACTCCTCTCGGTACCGAGATGTACCATCCAGGATGGCATTCTCTGCTCCTGCAGAGGCTATTGATGTACAGGTCACTAGCCTAGGCTATGCTAGGTTAGCCATCATGACCTCGTCTTATACAATTGGTGTCAGAAAGCACAGGGAGGCAGAAGATACAGCCAATGGGGAATAGGCGCGTGGCATATTGCGTCACATCAGAGATAAATAGACTGGATGCCCTTACTGACACACGAACTTGGGAAAACAAGCATTTAATTAGACCATTCCCTTGATGAGACAACATTTAATGCGGTAAGACTCGGAAGAGAAAGGTAATAAATGTCCCTGAGACTGGACATTTATTACACCCTTGCCGAGAGGAGCTCATTAAACATTCGGCAGGGCGATGACGCGGGATTGGTTGCTCGGGGTCCCGAGCAGTTAAGAGAAGACATTTCTCATAGGAATCAGTGCGCACGTTGCCCGTATCTAATGATCACCTACTAGCCACACTGACAGCAATCCTGAGTTTTTGAGGTATAAATACTCCTCACAAAAGGCAGGATGATATGCAACAAAAGACATCTTCTAAAATCTATACTCAGTGTTTTCTTTTTCCCCTCTCTCAAAAACTGACTTGATCGTCGGAGGGGATACGCCGAAAAACACTCTGGCGCCCTTCTAACTTATTTTTTCTCTGTTTCAGGAACCTCTCTCAATTTTACTGGACCCCATCCGTTGATCCGTGGAAGTCACCCATTACTTTTTCAGGTCACCATGGGACCTCACACCTTTCCAAACAACGAGGCTGACCATTCGATTGATTGGTTCGAGTTCACCACGGGAGAGATCTGTTCTCGTGTTTATATTGTGCAAGATCCTGCACGCACAATTACAACATTGGAAATATCCTGGGTTCCTAGGAGTACATAGCCGTTCTTGTTCTTGATGACCATGATGCTACACAGTTTAATCCTAATCTTCCAGTTTGGTGTGATAGTGTGAAAATCGAAAGGGATTTACAGAGTAGGAAATGGGAATTACTAATCCAAAAATTTTCTTAAGAGGACTTGGCACTTGTAATTGTCTTGATTTTGTTTGACATATAGTACTACCTTAAAAGCTGATTCTGAACGTGCATATGTGTTTGAAATAACTTTATTCTTTAGGTTGGCCATTGGCAGTTACCTAACAACATTATATCTAACAGCTTCTTTTTGAATTTAATCACCAACGGGTTTATTCTCTACCATTTTATAACTATTAAAATTAGAGATTATAAACTGTTTTAATTCTTGTATCAACAATCACATACTCGGCCTCCAAAGTGTTCCAAAGCTCTTTGGCGGTTGTCATAGTATTATGGTAGACATCATAAAGATGATTAGAAAGAGCACTAAGAATTCTATTATGACAATGATATTCAATTTGTTCATGGGTATAGCATGAAGAGAACTCTTGGTTAGGTTGAGGCTCTTCTATAGTAGAAATTAAGCCTAGTATGGTCAACCAATATCGAACTTGTGTTTTGTCACCTATGAAAGTTTTGACTACTAAATTTTTTGGGTTTAACACTATTAGCTTCTTCTAGTTTAGTCATCCTAAATTTAGAATTCAAGGGCAAAGAAATAATAAGAGATATGCAAAGAACTTGTATTTAATTTAAATGTCAACTGTCAAAACTTTATTTGTAACAAAATTAAAAAAAGTGTTTAAATTATTGTAATAGCTCTTGAATACTTAAATTTAATTTAATTTTTTTTAAAGCAAGTAGCTATATTTTTTTTCCTTCTCTAAAAGACTATTTTTTCCCTAAAAAACTGTTTTTCCAAAAAATTTTGAAAATTGGTTTTTGTTTTTTTTTTCTGAAAAACAGATGCAATTTTTTTTTTCTAGAAAAATAGTAACAATTTTTTTTTTCCAGAAAACAGTAACAATTTTTTTTCATGACACAGAAAACTGTTACTATTTTTGTTTTAAAAAAATGGCTTTTTTTTAACAAAAAAAAAAAATTAGCTGCTTTAGATTGTAGAAATAATTATAGTTTTTAAGCATAAATTTATAATTGGAATTAAGAAAATTGCTACTCAACTTTTGGTCAAATCAACAATTATTAGAATTATGATGTGCGGAAAATAATTATGAGTATTATAATCTAAAATTCGAAATTAAGTATGTAAACAGTAGTTAGATCATTAAAAATATAACATGTAATTTAAATAAATACAGAAATGTATAAACATGCAATCTATATAAACCAAATAAATAAATTTGGAAAGAGCTTGTCTGCGAGTCCGAGAGGCGTGTGATCACTGTCCTAAAACAATTGAGTTTCCCCACGTGAGGATATTGATGGACACTAGTGACTCCAAGATTCAATACAGACGCTCATAGCGGCACCTTTTCAATGATCACGTCTACCGGAAAGTTGAAGTGAATCTGACTCAAATCGAGTTACCCAAAAATAAAATAATAGATGATAATTAAAAAGTATGCCAAGTATAATAAAATATTAGAAGATTTTGAAGTGGATTTTCGTTGTTACCAAAAGCTATCTCAACGGCCACTTATATAGCCATTGTATGTGTAACGTACACATGATACTATTCAATTTTTTTTTCCAGCCGTTTGGCACGTGATGACTTTTCAATGGTTTTTATTGTCTAGCCTTGAATAGCCATAAAACTAATTTTAAGGTCATAAATTATTATTCTTGAATATATACATTAAATAGGACCAAAAAATTTGTAATTGAAATTCACAAATTAAAATGGAAATTCAATAAAAGTTTTAAAAACTTAATTTTATTCTTACAGGTGGGTCCTAACTATAGGTTTAAATTGTGAAGGCATGAAAATTCTGGAATGAAGGAAAGCATGTGCAGTTACTGGATGCTTTCACGGATGGCCTGGTACATGAGTCAGAAGTTATAAGATGCATTCGGGTGGGCCTCTTGTGTGTGCAACAACGCCCTAAAGATAGACCCACAATGTCTTTGGTTCTGCTGATCTTGGACAGCGAGAACCCACTACTGCCGCAACCTAAGCTACCTGGTTTTTACACACAAAGATTTCCTATTGAAACTGATACTTCATCAACGGGGAAAGATCCATGTGCTTCAAATGAAGTAACAATAACAGCGTTACATGGTAGATAGAAAGTGCTATTCCCTTCTTGTAAAAACATTTTCTGTGAAGGAAAAAAAGTAAGCTCGTCACCTGGTGAAAGCCTTGTACGTTAAAGGAAATGACACTAACAAACTTAAGCATCCACTGCCAAGAAGTGTATTGCAATTGTAAAATTTCTTTTGCACCTCTATAATTGTAAAGCCTTTTCTATGAATTTCTACTCTTAGTTTTGGTAGAGCAAATAATTTCACTAGCACATGTAATCTTATCATATATTGTCTTTAATTGGAGGGAAACTACATTTTTTTTTTAAAAAAAGAATATTGCAGCAAGGTTCGTTACGAGACAAAGCTTCTAATGACCGCCACCTCGCAATATTCAAATGTATTATCCAAGTAAATCCCCCTTTATATTTTGTATTTCACGAAGTTCTTCCTTGCTGATTGGAAGGTCACATGATGTATATTTGGAATGGTAGAAATGCTCCTGATTTTAAGCCTCTTGTGCAGAGGAGGAAACAGAATATAGCTAGCGACATTGTAATCTGTATCAATTGATACAAACTGAACCTTAAATCACAAAATTGCTTCCTACCTATTGTTGAATCTCTTTGGGTAGCAGCTTCTTAAGCATGGGAATTTGAATTTGTGTGAAGCCTTTTCTATTAAGTGTTGAATTGTTTCTGTAGAAATCTCATGACCTTATTACTTGCTGAAGATATGTGCCCAGTGGGCTTGTTCAGTACCGGAAGTTCCAATGGCCGCCACTTGAAGTAGTAAGGTACAACAACATCCCACTTCAAACCAGTCCTTGGGCCGCAAATGGGAGCATCCTGCTTAATGATAGAACTAATTATGTTGTTCTGAAGATAGACAAAATAGAAGAGCCTATCCTTATTGACAATGCATGATAGTTTCTTGAGCTCCAGATGACTGGAAGCATCATCATAAATTGGTATTGTGGACATCCTAAACTCAGCAGACCTGGTTTTAAGAGCTAGACTGGTTGTAATTTTTGAAGGTTCCTTTGGCAGAGATTTGACCATTCTTATAAGACCGTGTCAGCAGGCTTAATGTTGGATGTGATTTACAATTACTATGCTTAGAACTGGTACTTGACTTCATTAACTCATGGTGGTGGACTTAAAATAATGTGCCAGCAGGCTTAATGTCATATCCCAAATTTAAAATATATATAATATTAGAGAAAAGAAGGAGAAAAAAGAAAGAAAGAGACATACATCCAAGGTATGAATTTATTATTTATTATATGGGTTTTATATTCTATTCGATTACATGGTATTACTTTGACCCCTATATTCTTCTAAACTTAATTTTAACTACTGTTTTACTTTGTAAGTTGGAAGAATAGAATTTTGGAAAATTTATGGCAGACTCAAAAACAGAAAATTCATTTATTAAGCAAATTAAACTTTGACCTCAAAAGTTTTAAAAATTATAATTTGACCCCAGAACTTTAAAAACATTTTCTAAACTGCCCAAAATACTTCTATACTCTATTGCCTCATATTAGAAAGGATATTTATATATAGAAGATATATTAAGTATATATCAATGGATAAGAAGTAGGTAAATTAAATATAAAATCGCGAAATGACGAAAATAAGAATAGGGATTGATCGTTATATGTTACATTTGGATTAGCTAGTGATTGCATTAAGGTTGAGAAAGAGGGTTTTGAATTAAATTTTTAGAAATCAAGATGAGTAGTTTACTACTTCTTTTGAAAGAATTTTCTATATTCAATGTGTGGATGTGTGCGTGTGGATTTTATATATATATGATACATGTGTTGATATTTGAGGTTGCATTTAAATGTTTTAAAATTGTGAACTGTTCTGCATGTAAATTTTGAAAAACTTGTGGGATGATTTTATATTATTTCTTTGGTGATGAAAGAGAAATTTTGCTTGTGTTGGGACTAAAACTATAGTTTTAGTGTGTGTGAAAATCATGTTTATGAGACGAGGACTGGGATTACCAGGTCTAAATGGTAATAAAAGATTAGACCAGTCATTAGGCTAGTGATGACAAGAGACTAGGCCAGTTATTAGGCTAGTGGTAACAAGAGAAGGGGTCAGTCATCAGGCTAGTGATGACAAGAGACTGAGTCAGTTACCAGGCTAGTGGTAACAAAAAATTGGGCCAGTTACCAGGCTAGTAGTAACAAGAGATTAGGTCAGTTACCAAGCTAGTGGTAACAAACATGATTTGACAAATGTATTTAAACCTGAATGTGTGTGCGAATGTTTTGGGATATAAATGTATTTTCATTTATAAAGTTATTTATGATCATAAAATCATTTTGTTTAAATGATTATGTGGGAGAGGTTGGGGTACAATTTGTTGTACTTATGTGTGTATCAAAGTTTATTTTTGTACATAAACTCTAGGATTTATTTTCACATCTCATTAGAGGTGATTGCTATTCACGGGTCATTATGCTCATCTAAACATTTAACATTTTTTAGGTGAGGATCAGTGTGAGGAATAAGTCCACAGATAGACAAGAGATTAGAGGAATCGAAGATTTATTTTATTGTAGGTCTTCAAGAATAAAAGTATTTTATAATTTTGAGACAAATGTTTAATTGTTTTGGGAACAATATTATTTATGTTTAGAATAGTGAACTTTATGATTTAATTATTTTCTTATATGACTTTAGTAATGATATCGATGGTGTTTAGTTCATTCTTCTGGTATTCATTAGGTCGGTGGAATGAATCACTTTATTATTTGTCTTCCGCTTTATTTTGTATTTATTATGTATAAGAATAGTTGGTTAAGGTCTTGGTGGCCGGGTGTGACACTTAAATGTCATGTAGAGTTGGTTATCTGTTACTAACAATCATTTATAAACCAATTGACATATTGTTCCTGTTATCCAAAGTTGACTGAGGCACTATACAATTTCATTGCTCTGAAGAGTAGAGTGTTATGATACCTTGGTTTTCTATGTATTTAATCCATCAAACATTGTCAAAGTCTTCCTTCTCTTGCTGCAACATGATCATTTGAACAATCAAAGGTCAACGCTACTCAGAACCTGACGGAAAAACTCTTTTATGCCTGTTATATTCCTCTTCCCTTCAAACTAAATCTTTTTGTTATTACTTTATACATTCCTACACCACTTCCTCTATGCTGCCGTTTAGAATTCTGTTCTTGTCTCTCAGGTTTATTTATTAGTTATTTTGACTAGACTAGTGTAATTTTGTCCATTTGAAGAGGCAATGGAGGACTGAAATGCTTTGCTTTTAAGGCAAAGCAACATAGGTTTCTATTCGGATGAGGATTCATATACTTCCTATCTTTTGTTACATTTTTGTGGTAACCTTGTCTTACAGTGAAATCTCCATGGCAACTAACACGTTAAGTCAATTCCAGTCAATGAGTGATATCGATAATGGAACCTTAGTCTCTGCCAGAAAGCAGTTCCAGCTTGGCTTCTTCAGTCCCAGAAATTCCAAGAGAAGGTACTTGGGTATATGGTACAACAACATCCCAATCCAAACCATTGTTTGGGTAGCAAACAGAGCTAAGCCGCTTAATGATTCATCAGGGGTTCTTAGGATAGAAAATGATGGAAATTTGGTTCTTCTTGACCAAACAGAAAGAGTAGCTTGGTCATCAAAAACTCGGAAGTTATCATCAAGAAATTTTGTTGCACAACTCTTGGACACAGGAAATCTTGTTTTGAGAAATGAGAGGAATAGTAGCAATGAGAGTTATGTTTGGCAAAGCTTTGATCATCCTTGTGATACCTTGATAGCAGGCATGAAGTTGGGATGGGACTTGAGGATCAGTTTGAATCGGTCCCTTACATCGTGGAAGAGTGCAGATGATCCTTCTCCTGGAGACTTATCTTTTGGAATAGATCTTCAAAGACTACCACAAATAGTCTTTCACAACGGTTCTGTAAAGCTGTTCCGGTCCGGGCCGTTGGATGGAGTGGAATTTAATGGGATGTCTGTTTCACCCACTGCTGTCTTCATTCCCAAGATCATCAGTAATCCACAAGAGTTGTATTATGAATTTAGTATCTCCAATGAATCCACTCCAACAATCGCAGTGCTGAGCTACTCCAGTGGACTTCAACGTCTTGTATGGGACAGTAGTTACCTTAAATGGCATGTCATGAGTTCTGTGCCCCGCGACGAATGTGATAAATATGGCTATTGTGGTTATAATGCTATTTGTACGGTTAGTGATTCTCAGATTTGCAGCTGTTTGACAGGATATATGCCTAATATTTCACGAGATTGGGATATGCTTATGTGGTCTGGTGGGTGCATTCGGAAAAACCCATTGAATTGTCTCCCAGGAGAAGGATTTATAGAGCTTGAAGGTGTGAAAATGCCCGATTTGTTGAAGTTTTGGGTTAACCCCAATATGTCCCTTGAGGAATGTAGATTGGAATGTTTAAAGAATTGTTCTTGCACTGCGTATGCTAATTCAGCTATTACTGGAGGGGGGACTGGTTGCTTGCTTTGGTTTGAGGATCTCATTGATATCAGGAAACTGACACAATATGTTAGCCCGAAACTTTATATTCGGGTTGTAGCTTCAGACCTAGGTACCTGTGTTTGGTTCTGTTTAATGTACATAAGGTACTTTGGCTGAACCTCTTGACTTGTTAAAATTGATTTTGTGACTTGGTTTTGCTTTTTCTGTCTCAACATCAGTTTCCAAAAAGAAAAAGAAGATGGCAGTGGTGGTGGTAGTCCTGATGATCAGTGCACCAATTGCAGTGGTGCTTGTCATTGTCTCATGTGTCATTTGGAAGAAGATCTCAGCTCGAGGTAAATTTTATCTTATTTATTGAGTTGGCTACTACGAATGCATGTGAATACTCTGTCCCGTCCCCAAGGTAATCCAAACCAAGCATGTAGTACTATCTCAATCAAACTCACCCATTTGTGCATTTTGTCATCTTGGTGACAGGTGGACAAATGTAAAATGATAATTAAATTAAAATGCCCAATAAGTGAAGAGAAATAATTTATCCCATAGTTCAATATTGTTTAATAGCCATTACTGGTAGTTTGTTATTTTACAATGGGGGATTTACACAATCCCTATCTTTATGTATTTAATAGTGAAAAAACATCTTTATGTATTTAAATCTCCAAATTATCCTCTAACATCTCTTTCAATTATCTATTATTTTTGCATAAATATCAGTATCTATAAAAAAATTTAATTGATTACGTTACGATTAATCTATATCTATACTACTAATAAAAGTACCTTAAGTGAAAAAAATTTTGATTCACTATTTTACCCTTATAAAGAATTTTATACACCACACTATCATTCCACAATTAAATAGCTAAATTACAATCACATCTTTATGTATTTAAATCTCCAAATTACCTTCTAACATCTCTTTTAATTTTCTATTATCTTTATATAAATATCAATATTTATGAAAAAAATTAATTGAATATGTTACGATTAAAAAATATATATGCATCATTATAGTTTTGAATAAAATATTCAAAAACTCCATCAATAGATCATTATTCTTTTCAAAAATAAAGATAACATTATACCTATATATGTGTGTGTGTGTGTGTATATTTTCATCTATACTACTAATAAAGAATAAAACTTTTGCCTTTAGTAAGAAAAACTTTTGATTTAGTATTTTACTCTTGTAAAGAATTTTAAATATCATACTATTATTCCGTAGTTGAATATCTAAATTACCATCAAATACTTATGTGTTTAAATCTCTAAATTACCTCTAACATCTTTTTTAATTCTCTATTTACTATGTATAAATATCAGTATCCATAAATGTTTTAATTGACTATGTTACCTTTAAAGATTATATGCATCACTATATTTTTCCATAAAATGTTCAAAAAATCTTTAAAAACTTCATCAATCAAATATTAATCACTTCAAATATAATGATAACATTATCCTTACATATATTTATTTTTTATTTTCATAAAATTTTAACCATTTCATTTTTAAGAAAAAAAATAATCTTTTACGTATTTTTTTAAAATAATTTATGTTATTAAATCAACATAATTCTTCAACAACAATAAACTTTTTATATTTTATTAAGAGTTTGCATAAACAAAATTATAGTTTATTTTTAAATAAAACTTGAATTTTAGAATTTTAATATTATTTTAAAATATATATTATATAGTAATATATTATATTTTAGGGTTAATAGCAGTTTTAGTCCTTGAAATATGCATATTTTGTCAATTTCATCCTCATTGTATCAATTTTATCAATTTAGACCTTAAAGTGTTTAGTTAATGTTTAAATGATCTATATATAGAAAATCTGTTAAGTTTTTTATGAAGTAATCATGAGCTAGTCAGGTGATATTATCGGACGGGATGACATGTGGTCACTTTCATCAAAAATTTAATGGACTGTCTGGTTAGGGAACATTTAAACAAGAATTGAATATTTTAGAGACCAAAAGTATTATAAACCCTATATTTTATCTCTATTGACCTAACTAATTCTTAATTGTAGTAAGCATTAATTATAATATTGACAATTATTTTTATTTTATTCAATGAATTATATGTTGAAACTTAATCAAAATTTAAATAAATTATTTTTATCTTTTTTCTTATAGTTAAAATAGCAAATCATTAGGAATAGATAATATTTTTTGAATTTTATAGTATAATCCGAGCGATAAAAATATAATTTTGATAAAATTTAATGTAGATACACATATTAATATTTTGTATATAAAAATTAGTCACGTGCATTATTAGTTTTTGTAAGGGGCGGTTACACTTTCTTCTCCCTCGACAATGTTTGTCAGACAAATCCCCTTCAACTTGTTACAAAAGTAAAAAGTATAACAATTCATTGGTTTAGTGTCATAAATCATAGCCAAGGGAGGTGATATGTAACTGTCCCAAAGTACAATAATTAAACCTTCCCAATTGGCAATATTTGGTTAATATTCTGCTTTGACTGATGTAATGGAAGTTCTACAATATCCTCCATAAAGTATTGATGCATTGACCAAGTCATTGTTGCAAGAGTGCTCCTTCACTGTGTCTACAACAAATTGAGGGAGCTTTCTACTTAGTCAAATCTTGGTGTTATATGCTGAGATACAGATAAGGCAGCCATGAACCCATATGTAAGTCAATTCATGTCAGTTACCAACAGTGGCTGTTGAAATGACAAGCTTTTCCCACCGATTTTCAATTGCGGAAATATGGCTGAAGTAGTTCTGACCTTACACTTATCATTGAGATGATCAAATTTTCGAAGAAAGAAAAAAGAATTTGAAGTGGTCATGCATGAGAATCGAATGGGGCACTGTCATTTTTAGATTGCTCTGCTGAAAGTAAGTACAACTATTCATTGCAAGCAGGCAAACTAAGCAAACTAGTGAGTAGTAGCAGGGGCGGAGCTAGGATTGCTCTGCAGTGGAGGCAACTTATAACCCACTAATTGGCCAAGTTAGACTCAAGTTCAATACTTTATCTTTGAATTTTTAATGGATAACTACAAAAAAAAAAAAAAAATTAGTCCACCCATTAGTCATTGCACCCGTATAGTTATGATTACTGAAATACTTGCTCATTTTCTCTTGATTTTGATTTGTGGCATTTTAGCAAACATTAAACAGGTAACAATGGTATGAAAAGAAAACAAGCAAGTATTTCTCATAGACCACAAATCTTCTCTCAGAAAGTTAAAAGATTCAACAAATAACCAAATCTTTACAAATCTAAGAAAATTTTAATGGTTATTAGATTACCTTCAGATAACTCTCATATAACCTTCTACAACTTCTATTATGGCCGGATTTTACACGATGATTAGCAAGTGGATAATCATGATTAGAAAGAGACACAAGCACAAGGTGGAGATAAATGGATTATATAGTAGAGAATGGTTGGTTTGATTTGTGATTGAAGAGGAAGAGGGTAAAGAGACAAAAAAAAGAGAATGAGTGAAAGTCTAAAGCGAGTGGAAGTCTGAAGCCAACTTAGTGTAAATTATAAAACTAACCCCAAATGTTTTCTAAAACTTTCAGTGGGGGCAAGTTTTAAATACTTCTAAAATTTTTTAAACTTATAACTAGGGCCCAACAGTTTTTAAAATTGCAGTAGGGGCAGTTGCCCCCACTGTAAATCCTCCCTGAGTAGTAGTAGTAGTAGTACTATGCAATTGAAGGTTGACATTTGCACTATGTGGAGTTCAAAGACTGCCCAAACATTTTTTGAAGTTGATTCTATTTCAAAGGTTTGGGTGGTGGAGGAATGTGAGTTGTTCTTTGGCTATGTTCTTTCCTTGCAATCGTTTGGGTTATTTTTTTTTTGGTAGGTATAGCTCAGGTTGTTTGATTAGAAAGAAATTCGATAATATTTTAAGTTAGAAAAGATATGTTGGAAGGAATGTGGGACCTGATATACTTTTTATCTTCATTTTAGACCGGATATAATCCAAGCGAGTTTTGGGTTGAAAGAAAGCAACTTCCTTTTTTTTTGTGTTGAGTGTTTAACGTTGGATGACTTGTCCAATTTCAATTGGATTATGTAATACTTTACTTCATCTGTTAATAAAAGTTTTGTTTCTTATAAAAAAAAAAAAAGAAGTTGTTTCTACTTCACTAACTTGGTCAAGTTTGAATTGATATTCTACATACGTCCAAAAGGCATGTTAACTATATGTTCCCAATGCTTGATTCTTCCGTTTTTCTGTGCTTTAAGGTACACTGCCACCAGTACAGGACACTCAAGTAGGAGATCAGGAAAACCTAGACTTACCTATCTTCGATAGTGTCATTATTGCGGAAGCAACTAATAATTTTTCTCATACAAACAAGATAGGAGAGGGAGGTTTTGGACCTGTTTACAAGGTAATTTCTTAACAGAGAACTATTGATGGAACATCACAAAAAAAAAAAAGAGAGAGAGAGAGAGAGAAAAGAATCACATACTTACTGTGATAGTTGAAAGTGTAGGGTATGCTATCAACAGGACAAGAGATAGCAGTGAAGAGACTCTCAGAGAATTCTCGACAAGGGCTCAATGAATTCAAAAATGAGGTCACGTTGATCGTGAAACTTCAGCATCGAAATCTAGTTAGGCTTTTGGGTTGTTGCATCCAAGGAATTGAGAGAATGCTAATTTACGAGTACATGCCTAATGGGAGCCTGGACTTATTTATTTTTGGTTTGTCCTCTCAACCCTTCTTGTAGTTTATTTGTTATTATGCCTTTTATGAGACATGAAAAGGGAAATGTACTGGTCAAATAAGTTGTAACAACCCACTGATATATGACACCAGAATTTAATAGACTAAATGACCTCTGTTAATGTGATTCAAAGGTGGTCAATATGCAGCAAGAAATAATCTTCTTGTATGGAGAAGGCGCTTTCATATTATTGTTGGAATTGCTCGAGGACTTCTTTATCTTCATCATGACTCGAGACTAAAAATTATTCATAGGGATCTAAAAGCCAGCAATGTGCTGCTAGACAGCGAGATGAATCCTAAAATTTCAGATTTCGGCATGGCTAGAGCGTTTGGAGGAGATCAATCAGCAGAAAGAACCAGAAGGGTGGTTGGAACTTAGTAAGCACACAAAACTGTTTTTCTTACAACCTGCACAAGTTCAATTTTTACTGACTTCATGTCTTTGATGATGGAATGCAGCGGTTATATGTCTCCAGAGTATACAATTGATGGGATCTTTTCGACGAAGTCAGATGTCTTTAGCTTCGGAGTCTTAGTGTTGGAAATAGTGAGTGGCAAAAGAAACAGCCAATTTTATCATCCTGACCATGATTTTAATCTTCTTGGGCATGTAAGTGCTTAGTTTAGGCTATTCATCTTTTTCCTCTTTATTCTTGTACAGTGTTCACACCTCATATTGTTATTACAGGCATGGAAACTACGGACTGAAGGAAGAGCACATGAGCTAATAGATCCCCTTTTGGAGGATTCACTTCCCATGTCAGAAATATCGAGATGCATACAAGTTGGCCTTTTGTGTGTGCAGCAGCTCCCCAAAGACAGGCCAACTATGTCATGTGTGGTCCGAATGTTGGATAGTGAGAGTGCAATTCTGCCTCAACCTATGCAACCTGGTTTTTATACAGAGAGAAGCCATGTTGAGGCTGAATCTTCAGTGTCTGGAAGAACTTGGTCAATGAATGAGGTGACCAATTCTCAGTTAGAAGGTCGATGAATAATTCATTCCTTGGACATGTAAATGCCAGGTGAATCAGGTGACACACGATGAATATCTAATCCACTCTATACAAATACAACCGATGATGAAAATATTTTTAAGGTTCACTGGATGATTTGGGTGATCTTTGTATGTACCCTATTATATTTCTCGGATAAAATTAGGATCCTGTCACTTGCAATGTGTTAGTTGAAAAATCAGGGGAAGTGATCACTTGCTAGTTATGGCTGTTCATATATTTCTTTGCAGCTTTTGAGAACATGAATGGTTTTTTAGATATGTTGGATCATCATCTTGTTAATCATGGTCAATCAGCACATAGAACCTGACATTTTGGCTCTAAATCAATGTGATTTATTCAAGCATATTCCAGTTTCAAAGACATAGAAAGCATACAGAAATGTTCTGAACTTACTCCAATTTAGACCCACCACAACCCAAAGAAAACATCTTCTCTATTTCATTGTGTTTGGATTACTTGCTAAACAGTAATTTCAGTTCCCTGGTGTCAATAATTTGGAGACTATGGCATAGCTTATATCTTCAATTTTCTGTATGAAACTACCAAATAACATCAAAATTATGAATTCAAATAAGGTTTGGATTTCCATTAGAGATGGTCTACAATTGTACTTGATGGTGCACAAAAATGGTTTTGCACACCACCTGTCAAGTGTAGGTAATAAATGCAATGAAATCAATGAGAAAATTAAAAAAAACACAATTTATAGTGGTTCGGTCAATTCGACCTACGTCAACTCTTCAATGGCTTCAGTTGCCGGGTATTTTATTAATTCAAAGGTATGGAGAATAGAGATACAAGCTTTGAGAGAATGGAGAATCAAAGAAGCAGTGGTCTTCGGTCGTCGGTCTGTTCTCTGTAAGTGTTGGTGGGGCCTGACATTCCTCTTCGTCTCTTAACAGATTGGGGGTACTTTATAGCAGCTAAGAGATCATTCTTGTAGAGATCATGACTTATCCTCAAGGCTATTTTATCGCAGCTAAGAGATCATTCTGGTGGAGATCATGACTTATCCTCAAGGCTACTTTATAGCACTAAAAGATCATTCTGGTGGAGATCACGACTTATCCTCAACGGAAGGAAGAGGTTGGGGAGCTCTTCATGAAACGCGGTCAAAGATTGGACCGTTTCCTTCGGTGGTGTAGATAAGCTTCCCATGCTCTCCTCTTGATGATGTGCTAAGCAAGAAGTCTAACCGGTCTTGGACTTGGTGGATTCAAAATGAGGTTGGGCTCCTCAACTGAGGTTTGACTTTAACACATAAATTGAACTATTTGGGCTTAACCCATCATTTGTCCCCCAATGCCCCATGTCCAATGAGACTTGGAGAAGGAGGCATTGACTATATTATTTATTATTATTATATTTTTTTTAAACTTCAAGTTTTTCTCACTTTGTTTTGAAGAGGGCCCATAATATTCTATTTGACCTTTTTATTTTGAAAATGATCCATAACTTTTTATTTGGCCACTTTATTTTGAAAAGAGCCCATAATTTTCTATTTGGGCTTTTTTCCCTCTTTTTGAAAAACCCTAGACTATAAATATAGTCTTTTTCTTCATGTTACCCATTTTACTCATTTTTAAGGTTGAACACCCACCTCTTGAAAACCTTGAGAACTCAAGTCCTACCCATTTTGTTGAAGCCAAAGTGTGTTCTCCTTGAATCCTTTCAAGAGTGTGATTTATTCTTTGCTAGTTGAGCTTCTCAAGTAAACAATGTCGATTGAAGAGGGAGTGGTGGAGGTTGAAGAAAGGGAGGAAGTAGGCACCATTTTGCAGAACTTGGAGGCTGGTTTTGAGCAGTCAAATGTTGTCTTGGATAACTTTGGGGCTGTAAATGAAGGGCCGGACAGCGAAGGGGAGATGGGCAGCGCGAGGAGTTGCTTGGGCAGCGAAGGGAAATGGCTGGGCGCGCGATTGGGCAGCGCAGGCGCGCTGGGCGCGCGGCTGCACAGCACAGGCACGCAGCTGGGCAGCGCGCGCGCGCGGTGAGGGCTGGGCGGCTGCCTGGGCTCTGCTCCTCCTGTCCTGGACAGCCCAGGCGCGCTGGGCAGCTACCTGGGCGCTGACCTTGCTGTCCTGGACAGCCCAGGTGCGCTGGGCAGCAGTCTAGCTGCTGCTTCTGCTGTCCCGGACAGCTTCAGATCTGCTGCGCTAGGCGGCTTTGGAACGCTGGGCAGCAGCATTTTTCCATCAAAGGGCGCTGAAAATCAGTCCAAGGTTCATCAGGGAGAGCTAGACAGTGGCTTGGGAGCACGGGCTGATCCGATTCAAGTTCCTCAAGACTCTCCCAATGGTGATTTGGACTACTCCTTAAGGCCCCGGAAGAAGAAACGCAAGAGCAAAGTGAGACTTGATAATGACGGGTCTAAGGTGAGCACCCTTTCTAGTTTGTTCCGCTTAAATGAAGATATTTCAAGGCTAGTTTTTACTTATCGCATCCCTCCAACCATGTTGTGCCGTCGGGTTGAGTTGGGCGAGCTTGCTTGCGATGACTCTTCCGAGGATATTGTGGTCTACGAGGAGATGCTTGAGGCTAGGTTAAGATTTCCCATGTCCTCCCCCATTTGTCGTATTTTGCATTACTTTTCCTTGACTCCGGGGCGACTAGCGCCCAACGGTTGGAGAGTCCTGCTCAGTTTTCTTGCATTATGGAGAAAGGTGCACCGCGAGGATGCTTCCCCTATGGAGTTTCATGCAGCATATAATTTGAGCGAAACCCCTACACCAAATAGGGGATGGTACTATTTTACCGCACGGAGTGGTACAGTGCTTACAGGAATGCGCTCTAATTGCGGCGGCTGAAAATCTTGTTTCTTCTTTATTGGTGGAGAATGGGCTTCAGAAGCCGACAGAGTTTCGGTGCCAACACATTGGGGTGCTGCTAAAAAACCCGGTATGCTGCACACTTCTTCTTTTCCTTTTTTTTTGTTTGCGTGTGTGCTCACTTTTTCCATGCAGATATACCTGTGCTTTCTCGGGGACCAGGAGTGGAAATTGGAGGCTGTCAAAGCTTGCCCTTGTAAAGATTTGGGAGTTCTCCTGCCCAAGTATACTAGAGCTGTAGCTCCATCTCAGAAATCTGGCAGCTCCTCTTCGAAGAAAAAGGGTGAGCTAGTTTCCTCTCCTTTTTTTTTTTTTTATCTAACCCTTCTCTACTCTTGCAGCAAGTAAGAGGGTGGTGGTGTCCCGCTTTTCTAGCAGGAGCCCTCCTTCTTCCAAAGTGGCAAGGACGAATGATGCCCCCCATGTGGCTTCCACGGTGGCTCCTTCTCAACTGGCAACTTCTCCAACTGCTGCTCCAGAATCTTCCTTGCCAGGCACATCTATTCCACCTTTATCCTCTCCTCGTGCTACCCCTCCTTTGTCTCCTCCTTGTTCAGGAACTTCTACCCAAGTGCCGATTTGGGCTGGTTCTATGATGGGGAGACCGACAGCTATCAGGGCAAGGCTTGGGAGGTTTGTGTTTGGGCCAAAGTTTCTGAGCTTAGCGCTTCGGGCACTGATAATATCGTCAACACGTATTTGGAAGGTCTGGCTCAGGTAAGGGTCTGTTATTTCCTTTTCTCCAGTCGTTTCTTGTGTTTTTGACTTTTTTTTTTTTAGGTTTCGACTTCCTCCATCTGCTTGCTTTCGAGGGCCTATAATCAAGACAAGCTGAAGCTGGATCTTAGCCTTGTGCAGAGGGAGCTTATTACTGCTCAGGAGAGGATTGTCGAGCTTGATTCTGAGCTTTTGGTGACCCGTGAGAGGGACGTGCTCCGGGAGGGTGAACTTGTGGCAGCACATGAAAGGTTTTCTAATTTTGAGTCCGAGCTTTTGGCGGCCCGCGAGAGGGACGCGCTCAGGGATGGTGAGCTTGCTGCAGCCCATGAGAGGGCCACTAAGCTAGAGGCTGAGCTTTTGGCAGTCCACGAGAGGAGCGCGCTCAGGGATGGTGAGCTTGTTGCAGCCCATGAGAGGGCCACTAAGCTAGAGGCTGAGCTTTTGGCAGTCCGCGAGAGGAGTGCGCTCAGAGAGGCTGAGCTTGTAGAGGCCCATGGGAGGGCCATGCTCAGAGAGGCAGCTGTTGCAGAGGCAAAGTTGACGGCTGCTCGGGAGAGAGTTTCCCGTGCTGAGGAAACTTGGAGAATGGTCTTGCAGATGCTTTTATTGATGGTTTCGAGGATCTCCGAGGGAAAGTTTCTACCGCTTTCCCTAATATTGACTTCTCACCTTTCGTGCCCACTGACGACAGTGATGAGGGGGGATCTGATGCTGTTGATGACAATGAGGAGGAGGTGGGGGACGACCATGAGAGCAGTTAGAGTGTTTAGGACTTTTGATTTTTTTTTTTTTGAAAAGGCGGTATCTGGCCTTATTTTTGTACCGATACTCCTTTGAAATGAAATACAGAAAATCTTTTTGGAGTAAATGGCATAGAAAATTTTATTAATTTATTGCTTATAAAAAGCGATATTGGGTAATAATTCCCAAAAAAAAATACATTGAAATCTTGGGTAACACCCTAAAAATCAAATCAAGTCCCAACTTCTACTGCTTTGATGCTCTCAAGGTGTCATTGGTAATACCTTTTCAAGTGCTCTGCATTCCATGGATGGAGTAAAACTTTTCCCTCAGAATCTTGGATTTTGTAGGTGTCTGGTCTCACTACTTCTGTTACGCGGTAGGGCCCTTCCCAATTTGGTCCCAGCTTCCCTTCGCGTGCATCTTTTGTAGCGAGGATTACTTTTTTGAGGACCAAATCCCCAGGTTGGAAAGAACGGGGCTTCACCCTCGAATTGTAGTACCTTGTCATGCGCCGTTTATACTCCGCGTTGCGGACTACAGCCATCTCCCTTCCTTCCTCCACCAAGTCGAGGTTGCTACGGAGTCCTTCCTCGTTGGTGATGGGATCGTGGTGCTGGACCCTTAGGGAGTGTACCCCTATCTCCACAGGGATGACCGCCTCGGTTCCGAAGGCGAGGGAAAAAGGAGTCTCCCCAGTAGGGGTTCTTGGTGTGGTTCGATAAGCCCACAGTACGCCTGACAGCTCCTCTACCCAAAGGCCCTTTGCTTTTTCAAGCCTTGTCTTTAAATTGCGTAGCACGGTTCTTACCATGACCTCTGCTTGTCCATTTGCTTGTGGATGTGCCGGGCTGGAGTGAGGTTGTTTTATTTGAAGGTC